CAGATACATATTTACCTAACAGATCCGTATGCACCAGAGCCGACGGGAGACAAGTTCTGATACCGCACAGGGACCTCCCATATTGTCTTGTTGACCTCCTGTCGATAGAAAGTGGGTCTTTCTTTCTGCGACATGCCTGCAGAACGAGCGCCCGAGGCGAGTTGAGACTTCTGCTTTCCCTGGCTTGCCTGCCTGTGATTCAAAGCGGTTGTTTTCGTGCAACAATCAAAAATGGAAAGTAAACGACCGATAAAGTCGAGCGTGCACGCGGGTACTAAAGAACGAACCACCTCGATGTGTTTAGTTCATGCCAGCGGCTCCGAATATTCTTGGAATGTGAGAAGTTGCTCGGTTCCGGGTCGCGGTGATTTCGAGCACTATCCCGTCAGCGTCTCTCCCTGCTGCTACAAATGAAAGTCACAGTAAAAAAAATAAAAAAAGCTAAGTGAGTTCCCAAGCGCGCCCCCTATGTACATATTCACAGGAGGAACACACAGATTGTTGATGTACTACAACGTTTTGTGCAGCGTTTAATGCAAGTCTCTGAATTCGATATTTATACCACCCTAAAACTTTTTAAGTGGTTTGAATTTTACTTTTAAATTTAATGCATAATAACATAAGAGAACATATTGATGTACATAATGGAAGATGGTGTAAAACTCACCAAGACATCATGAAGACTACCTATATTTTTAATTTGTTTTAATGGAATAATAATAATTATATATATATATATATATAATATTATAGTTATTTATAGATTTATGTTTACATTAAAACATACATTTTATTTATACAGAAAAGCATTCACTCAAGGTCACTTTATAAAAACATAAAGAAAAAAACAAAAATTATTATATAGAATCATGATATAAAAAGAAAAACAAACAATATAGCTACAGAATGCAGTAATGAGCAGAGAAAAAAGATCATAAATTAACACTGCACTGCAGGTCTGAACCTAATAGAGCAATAACAAAATAAATCAGTGGTTGGAGAAGGGTGAGAAGATATTTGTCTGAAGATGTGTGTTTTTAATTGTGCCTTAAAATCTAAGATCCATGAAATATATTTTGGAGATTTTACTGCATTGAATTCCATTACAGTCTTGTCCTATATTTTTAAAATGAAATATTTGAATATAATAGGCCTACTATATGAAAAGTTTTACAGTTAGGTGCTCTTAAGGACTGGTAGAACACAGGGGTCAGAGTTCATATTTGGCATTGGCATCATTATAAAGGTCATCATTATAAATGGTTATAAAGGTCAGGCTACGTTTTTCTTCAGTAAATCTGTGAAGGAAAAATGGTTTGACTTAGCACTTAAAAGACAGCAAAATAGCAGCAAAATAAAGCTGGAAGATGGGCTGGTTTCCTGTCAGGGAGTAAAGAAAACAAGAAAAAACAAAACAAAATATGTTTAATTGTAAAGTTGAAGAGAGCCACGAAAGCTACTTAGCACTGTGTTGTCTGTCACTACAGAAACCAGGACACTTTCACACAAGGATGAAATAATCCCTAAGCATTTGGGACCCTGAACTGCCTCAAGGAATTTGTCAAATTAGGGCTACACGATTATGACAAAAATCAAAATTGTCGATTATTCCCTTGAAATTGTAATTGCGATTGTTAATTACGATTATCACAATTTACATTGAATGATGTTTATACCATTGTTTGATGCAACTGCATGCCGTATTTTTATATGAAAATAAACAAGCTGAAAACACTCTAACTGAAAAACTTTGTGCTTTTCCATAGTATTAAGCCTCAAATGTCAACTATACATCGGATTGGTTTCTTCTTTAAATTATAAAAAAAAAGTAAAAATATGAATGGTATTATAATGTTATACTAAAACTAAAACAATGGAAAAACCCTTAAGATAACATGTAGAAAGAAAAAAACGCATCTTAAGCATGCAGAATAACATAAGTGGACTTTGAACGATTAATTGCCACTTTGAATGATTACATAATTGTGGCATCCATAATTGTAATCGCGATTAGAAATTAGATTAATTGTGCAGCCCTAATTAGTAATATGCATTGCTAAGAACTTCATTTGGACAACTTTAAAGGCGATTTTCTCAATATTTAGATTTTTTTTTTCAAATAGTTGTATCTCGGTCAAATATTGTCCTATCCTAACAAACCATACATCAATGGAAAGCTATTTATTCAACTTTCAGATGATGCATCTAAAAAAAATTAACCCTTATGACTGGTTTTGTGCTCCAGGGTCACATATTATTTTACGAA